CTTAGCAGCCTCAAATAGGATTCAAGTGTCATCGGGCATCTCTTTTATCTTAAATTAAGTTAAGCTACAAATTTTTACTTGAGAAAATGATGAAATGCCCGCTTGTCAACGTGTTGCAACTGTAACAATGGTGGTGAATCCGTCGGTGGTGGTGCAAATGGACCTGTGAGCATCGCTCGAAACCATTCTGATCTCTTGGCCAGTTGTTCTCGTTCGACGCAATATGTCCACGAATCGCCGGGCAATCCAGCCTGTGAATCAAAATTCATCACAATCATTCCAATGCGTGTCTTCAGATTGTGCATACGAATAGCAGTGCCTCCGCGTAATTTAAATTTTACTTTCTGCCATTTTAGGCAGTTTAATTGATTGAAGATTACTATTATATTCTCGATAGAATTTAAATGTTTCTTTAGTAATTTTTTATTCTTCTCTCTCTATTTTTACGTTTTTATCTCCTGTTCAAAAAAAGAGATAATCCAAATATATATATAATATATCATTGTATTGTATATATTATAGAAAGTAAGAAGATTCCTCTTACTAAATATAATTTTAAAAATACAAATAAATAATATTTCTTGATTTTTTCGCTTGTTAGAGGTTTTTCTTCCAAAAAATTGAATACCAACTTAAGTATCTAATAAAAATCGACATTATAAATAAATAATCTAAAAAAAAGTTTTACATTAAATTTTACTATATCGAAAATTATATTTAATCGGAAACAATTTACGTTTATAACGCATTAAATGCATACCTCAAGCATTACAACGTTGCAACGATCCCCGGCTTGCAAATTGTTCTCAGGCGTTATAAGAGATGCTCGAGACATGTCTATTGGAAGATCCTTCTGAGATGTCTTTGTCTTGATCAATGGCGAGATCTGAATCTTGGAATAAAATCTGCTTAGCAATCTTCTGTGAGATTTTTCGCGTTCCTTCTTAGACTGGATACGAAAGGATCGAGAATCGTCTATGTAAAACAATAAAATTTTATTTAGATATCTTTGCTCAAATACACAAAACACTTTAGTTATTTAAAAGTTTTCATGAAATAAAGCCATCTTACACGCTATAAAATAATGCATTTTCTATATTAAAAAAAAATAAATTATTCTATTTATTAATAGTAAAATAAATTCTATTTATTAATTATGTTATTGTTTTTTTCGAATTTAATATTTAATAAAATTAATATCTCTAATCTGGATTATTCTATTTATTAATTATTTTATATAAATTATTCTATTTATTATTTTTTATTTATTAATTATTCTATTTATTATTTTTATTATTTATTATTTATTATTTTTTCTTGTCCTGCAAATGCAGTATGTTGCATCGTTTCGCGCTTGCACAATATTGCATCTTCGGAAACACATCCATCATCGATAGATGTTCTGTTGCTGTTTTTTTTTTTTTTTTTTTGAATACTCTTTCTTGCGATAAGACTATTTATGATTCATGTCGCTATCTCATGGCGGTTCAATGATTTCGATTTTTGCGCGTTTTATTGATCATCACAGTTTACTTTACATTGACTGCTGTGCCAATGTTAAGAGGTACAGTATCTAATTTACACATGGGTTTGGCAGTATTTGCAGAAGATAAGACTTATGTTGTAATTACTTATTGATTTTTAATGATAGAGATAGATAACACAATATAAGTGTGTTCTAAATGTAATATATATGTATATATAGAATTAAACAAATATTATTACAAGATATATTGAGTGGAGAGAATGAGAAAGCGATTCGTGCAATTTTGCAAAATGAATGCTTGTAGTGTGACTCTACGAAAATCCAATATCTACAGATAAAAGTATATGAAATGCAATATGTGATATTCTTGTGCAATTTCTGCAACAAATAAGCTTATCATTTATATGAAAAACAAACTCTAAAAATAAATTCTTTGTGATTAAACTGGGAGAAATAGGGATTATTACATAATCATAAAATTCATTTCTTTAAATTGAAAATGTGATAAAAATAAAAGTAATAAAAGAGAAATTTATCTTTCTATAAATAAATAGATTCCTATAAATAAATATATTACGAATGACAAAAAAACAATAAAAATAATAGATAAGTAGAAAAATAATAATACATATACTCCAAATATAAATTCTTCATGATTAAACTGAGAGAAATAGGGATTATTACATAATCATAAAATTCATTTCTTTAAATTGAAAATGTGATAAAAATAAAAGTAATAAAAGAGAAATTTATCTTTCTATAAATAAATAGATTCCTATAAATAAATATATTACAAATGACAAAAAAATAATAAAAATAATAAGTAAATAGAAAAATAATAATACATTGCACTCTGAGTATATTTCGGATTTGAAGCCTCAAAATTAGATACGGTGATTTTGATATATATAGCTATATTATTGCTTATGAATTATTGCATTAATATCAGTTATATCAGCGATATCAATTAAGCTAAAGTTATCAAATCCAAATATCAATTTCAAGAGCAAATAACTTTATTTCGTAACGTGGGAGATGCACTATATACATGTGTATATCGAAATTGATAGTAACACAAGCGACATTAACACGAGTGAGATGCCGCTCTATTGACAAAACAACGAGGAATGTTTGATAGCAACCGTTTAGCCCGATTGTGTGTGAATCTTTTAATTCGAAACTCTTTTATACTCTAATCATCTCTGTACACGCATCTCTATTTTGCATTATCTGAATTAAATTTGCAAATCTTTATTTTATTTATTATATTATATTTTAGTCTCATCATTAATCGGTTCATGCATCGTTCTCTTCCCTTTTTCTCAAAAATCGTATTTTTTTATTATTCCTATTATTTCTATTATTTTTTATATATTTCTCTGTAATTTTTCACTCAGAATTCGAGGCTTGAATACATCTCCATTTTTCACTTTAAATATAAAATGGAACAAAGAATGCGATTAAAATGAGAAAGAAAAAAATTGCTATTAATTATTTATCATACACCGATTCAATTTAAAGCATTTTATATACACACATACACAAACACACTGTTTTATAATAAATTGCAACCTTAAAAAAACCTGTTATTATATCCCCGAAAATAATATTAATAATTTCCTTTCACACAAAAAACTCTTTTTCATGAACATAATTATTTCATGAAATCGAAATGCATTTGTCGCATTCACTAGAAAACACTTTGCTCATCCATCAATACCGTCAATGAACAAAACACATCTACTCGATGAGAAACTCGGGGAGGACAGCCCTTTCGAAACGAGAAATACCGTTCGACTGACAGATCGATCTGTGTTGAGCCTATATTGTGAGTGACTCAGATTCTCTCAGAGGGATCGGTTACTATAATGTGTTTAAATTTCATCGACCATACTAATACTTGTTTATAAACATCGTCGACCGCTTGAGAGACTGTTTAGACCTGGGAAAAGGCGCTGGGGAATATATGCTCATATCCGGTAAAAGGGACTTTATCGATACCGAGAAGCTACGGTCTATAACAGCCAAGGGAAACGGTTTATATTGTGCTTCGAACTCGAGACGAGTGTCGAAGAATGCGTTATCGTCTGCGCGACATCGTTCAAGCCTTCTCGATAAAGCTTAACACGATGAAATTGACAGAAGTATAATTTTTCTCAGAATTATTTGTCAATAGAATTTGCCCGAAAGCTTTTTCTTTATCGGAAATATAAATTTAACACGTGAATTTCATCAGTAAAATTATTCATCGCGGAGAATAGCGGAATTTTTCGGAGTTGAAGATGAAGAAAATAATAATCAAAAATTAAATTAAAAATACAAAGGCAATAAGTAGATCGTAAATGTAGATCGTAAATGTAAAAAAGCTAAAAATTATAATCAAATTAAAAAAATATTATTATTGCAAAAATTAGCAGACTGAAAGTTGTCTAAATAGACGTCTATTACTGTCAGCGTTTCTTACTTATGCGAATCTTCGATGTAACTTTTGATGACGACTTTCAGTCTGCTAATTTTTGCAATAATAATATTCTTTTAATATGATTATAATTTTTAGCTTTTTTAAATTTACGATCTACATCCATGCAATTATTCGATTCATTATGACTTCACGCTGATAAGTCAATTTAATATATTTTTGCTACGTTCAACTTGGCGCAGTGGTTATTGCCTTTGTATTTTTAATTTAATTTTTGATTGTTATCTTCAACCACTCTTTTTATAATTTTAATAAAGAAAATAATATTCTTTTTTTTTACAATGAGGCTGATGTGAGAAATATTGTTGCGCGATGACACAAGAACACCAGAACAAACATGCTCCTTTACACTCCGTGCGCTTAAGTAGATTTCCGGTAGGTAGAACAAATGCTAATTTTTGCAATAATAATATTCTTTTAATTTGATTATAATTTTTAGCTTTTTTAAATTTACGATCTACATCCATGCAATTATTCGATTCATTATGACTTCACGCTGATAAGTCAATTTAATATATTTTTGCTACGTTCAACTTGGCGCAGTGGTTATTGCCTTTGTATTTTTAATTTAATTTTTGATTGTTATCTTCAACCACTCTTTTTATAATTTTAATAAAGAAAATAATATTCTTTTTTTTTACAACGAGGCTGATGTGAGAAATATTGTTACGCGATGACACAAGAACACCAGAACAAACATGCTCCTTTACACTCCGTACGCTTAAGTAGATTTCCGGTAGGTAGAACAATTCCGTCATTGCGAGGAACGCGGATACGCGCCGATCATCCGGGAATATCGAAAAGGTGTTAATCGTCCAACAGCTGAAACGTCGTGGTTCGAATGGATAATTGCCGCGTGCGCTAAACGATCGTAATCGGCTGGTCTCTTTGACGACGTAAGATACAGGAAGGCACTAATGATATTCAGGACGGCCGTGAATGAGTCCGTTTGAAAAGTCGGGATCTCAAGTTCGTTACAGCTTATGCAGTGCAAAAAATACAAGGCATTGTCGTCGATGTACGTTCGTTCGCGAAATAATGGCGGTCCTTAATACACTGTGACGTAAGTTCTTTTCCATACGCACAGAAGATTTGTAGAATAATTAATAAATATCGCTCGTATAAAGAAATATATAATATTAAAAAATATATAAATATTATTATAGAAATTATATAAATATTATATAAATATTATATAAATATTATATAAATATATATATATATTATTATATAAATAAACAAAGTAAAAAATAAATAAAGAAAAAAATTAATAAATAATTGTAAAAATTTTACAGAAATAAAATCGACATACGCGGGAGCATTCTTGAATTACCGAGAAATACGCAAACAAACGTATGAATCATTGTGCACTTTTACAGTATATCGTATTATTACAAATATCCTAAACCAAGTCAATAAAAATTCACATTTTTCAGACCTACATTCGTGCATTACGCGTGTCACACATCACTTCGTATTAACGTAGCAGTAATTTATGACAAAGCGGAGCATCACATATTATGTACCCCATTATTAATCATCGCGTTATAAGAATTTCAATGTACGCGTGTGTTTATGAGTCGAGGAGTGGCTCATTGAAACAGACATCACGGATACTCGTAAACATTATTGATTGTGCATGTAACTGCATTAAATGTTGCGAAGAAAAATCATATATGTAAAGTTACATGTTCGATATGACAAGTTACAGAAATAAAAATTAAAACACTGATAGCGACGTGTAAATGATATAAATAAAAGATAGTTTCTTTTAATACTCTGTCTTATATGTGTCTTTTATCTTAAATCATGACATAATATTGCATAACATGATAAGATTAACTTAGGGTATTATCACGAACATTATAATCTCAAAACAAATGTACGTTTTATTTTTTGTTCTAATATAAACTATTTATTCAAATATTGCAAGTTTTTTTATGCTGTTAGATATTTATTTGTGTTAATAAAATAAAAAAATTCAATTCAACTAAAAAATATCGTTTTTAT